TCTTTTAATTTTGTGGCTGCTGTCTCCAACTGCAGTGATCATGGAGCCCAAGAATGTAAAATCTGTCACTGCCTCCCCTTCTATTTGTCAGGAGGTGATGGGACCAGTGCCCATGATCTTAGTTTTTTTGATGCTAAGCTCCATAATATATTAGCCTAACTGTAGCCATCTTGCCTTCTGTAACTTGCATTACTATGTGAATGTGTAAACCAGTTATTTGGAGGGTTTGTAATCAATGCCCATATACAGTAGTTCCCTTCCGACTTCATTATTCTATGGTCCTCTGATGTATTTGAAATATTTTTATCCTGCCTTTCTCCTTAAGAAAAGACCCAAGGCAGCTTGCATCGCTAAAACACACTATTAAAGCTAAAAACAGTGAATTCTTCAACTGTTAAACAAAGTGATTACAATATGTTAAAAAGTTCAGGTAAAGAATTATTCAAGCTGATACAGAAGCAGCAAAATACAAACCATCTCATTTTTAAAAGATGTTCTGAACACTCTGCACTGAGGAGAAGAGAAGAGGTTTGAAGAGAAAAGGTCTTTCCCTGCTTACAGAACAACATAAAAAAAGATGCCACCAGCTTGGCCTTCCATGGGAAGGCATTCCAGAGTCCGAGAGGAGCAACAGGAAAGACTCTCCCACATGGCCCCACCAAAAGCACCTGTGAACTTCACTTTCTGGGCGATCCAGGTGGAGACTCCAAGCCCGATCTATGATAATCAGCTGCCCACCCTGAAGATTCAATCAATTCATTGTCATTGTAAGTGTATACAAGGTATATCCAAACAACGAAATTCATACAGACACCCAGAGACCAGACCCACATGCACACACATTAAAAAATTCCCCAATCACTCCCCACCCTCTAAAAATCCCTCACTAAAAATACAAACATCTGCACTGCAGGCTGTCCAACTATTCACTACTGGTGGTCTTTAAGCTCATTATTATCGCTCTGGGATAAAAACTATTCAGAAAACGTGTGGTCCGAGTCTTAATTGTTCTACATCTTCTGCCAGACGGCAACAATTCAAAAAAAGTTGTAAGCAGGATGGGAAGAGTCTCTCAGGATGCTGTGTGACTTCCTCAGACAGCGGGATGTGAAGATGTCATCCAGGGTTGGTAGCTGGAGCCCGATGATATTCTGGGCCATTTTAATGACTCTCTGCAGAGCTTTTTAATGGTTCTCTGTGGAGTTTTTTAATGGTTCTCTGTAGAGCTTTGTGGGCTAAAAAGGGCCATGGCCGGACTGGAATATGCTTCAGCCTGAGATCAGCCTGAACTTGGGGATAGGACCTTGAAGAAGGCCTCCCCTGATTATCTTAAACCAGGCAAGTTCATCGAGGGAGAGGTGGTCCCTTGGACCTAAGCCACACAGGGCTTTCTAGGTTAAACCCAGCACTTTGAATTGACTCTGGAAACAGACTGGGAATCGATGGCACCGTTTTAACCGGGGAGGGGGTTATGTGATCCCTGTGACCAGCCTCAAGGAGTCATTTGGCCACCATGTTTTGGTCTGGCTGACGTTTTCATGCACTTTCCAAAGACAGGATCACATAGAGTGAGTAATAGTAATCCAGCCGAGATGTAACTACGGCATGTGTCACCGTGGCTGGGTCAAGCCTCTCCAGGAATAGGTGCAACTGGCGTTTTACCTGTGCAAAGGCCAAACGTGGGCATCCGGGCTCAGAGACGAACCCAGAAGTACTGCATTTTAGAGGGTGGGGGATTACATCCCCATCCTGTACAGGCTGGGTCTCCGTTCCTTGATCTCCCTTTCAACTGACCAAGTGAAGGCCTCACAATCCAGCCTCTACTGTAGGGGGTCACACCCCCTTTGGAAAACACGGGTTGGTGCCCTTTGATGGCAGTGGATGAAGGGCAGAGTTGGTGCCCTTTGATGGCAGTGGATGAAACCACCCCAAAGACAGAGCCACTTACAGTTCAAATGAACGGTAGTGTTCTGGTTATTTGGAAGGCCAACAGGAAGAATCAGTGTTCAGATCGCAGCGGGCTGGCGGTGGCGGTGAGTCGGGGCTTCTGCAAGGGGCTCAGTCTGGACGTCCAACATTTGCCTCCCTCTGACTTCAGCAGACTCTCCCTCACTCGCCAAGTTTATGAGACTGTTTTTGCAACCTGCTTATGAGACCGTTTGTGCAACCTGTAGTGTACAGCTGCTGCGGGAACGACTTCATGCAACTTCTCTTATGATCCCAATGGGATTCTGGACATTATCATTTACACCTATCTGTGGATTCTGGATGGACCAACTGGTCTTTGCTTGGCCAGAAATGTGGGTCAAAGAAGAACATGAACTATTACACAGGTTGCAATGTCAGTAGAACTTAAAAAAAAAATCCTACGATCTGGAAGATTTGTGTGACACCACAGGGCAGTCCTGTGCCATTAGTTAATGTAAAGCAAAGAGCTGCATTGTGGGTAAGTTGTGAGCAAGCACCATTTGTGAGGTTGCACAACACCGTCCCTAGGGAGGAGGATGAAACCCAAAAAAATCTGCTCTAACTGCTTGCTTTAGTGGAATTTTCTTTCGATCAATAGCGCCTAACACGGAGGGAGGCCCGGAGAGAAAGAACAAGAAGCTGGGCCTTCTCGGCAGTGGCCCCTCACCTTTGGAACAATCTCCCTTCAGAGATCTGTCTGGCTCCCTCGCTGGGTGTTTTTAAGAGCCAACTTAAAACCTGGCTCTTTAGGCTGACCCTCCTGTCATCACTTGATGATTTTTGTCTTTCCCCCGTCTTGAAATTCTGCCTCCTCCAGAGTACATGATTTTTTTGTTTCTCAGCATCATGGCAGGTCAAAAACCCACCATGGGATCTTAAACCTGTGTTCTGCAGCCAAAACTTTGCGCATGACCTGGGGTTGACTCAGCCTTCTTCTACCTTTCCGAGGTCAGTAAAATGAGGACCCAACCCATTGCCTGCCCAATTCACTTGTAAATCTCCCAGAGAGTGCTTTAAATGCTATTGGGCGGAATACAAACAGCATGCTTTGCTTCCACCACCCCCCGACTTCTCCAGTCATCCCCATCTTTTGATCCCACCATGCTTTCGGGATGGATTCTTGATTAGGGCTTGGACACAACCCACCTCCCTAATAGTTCTCCATCTGGGTGATTTTTTGCAATGAAACTTGCGTTTGGAAGCCTGGCACATCTCATCCAAGGGGACGAGAGTTTTTAAAAGAGCCTTCCGTCTTCCTCTTCAACCCAAAGAGAAAACAGCCAAAGGACTTGGAAGAAAAGTATGAGAAATGAAGAGAGGAGTCCTATTAGTTCCTCCTTACGGATGACAAAGAGTGTCACAGACCACAGGGGAAGTCCAGATAGCCCGTGAAGTAGATGCAAGGGGAATTTTAATGGAAGCAAGGGAGATATGCTAAGAATGGCGAAACCATTAATTCGGAGACAGTGTCTTTCCCTGCTGGAATCACTACCAGCCAGGGTCTCCCGAATCTCCGCTCGGTTGGTTCTTCATTTGAAGCCCCTGGAAATGCAACAGAAGACGCGTCGGAAACACCTTCCAGAGGGAACCTGATTCCGACCGCATCTTCGACGGCAAGTCCCCTGCTTGTGGAGACAGGCTTGGCCACCACTCACTTGGGCCGCTCCTGCAGAAAGAAGACAAGAGTTCTTAATGAACTCACCCTGAATTAATTCCTCCATTTACTTCATTTGGTTTACTTCTGGATTTATATCTATTTCCCCTCACCTCCCCATCTTCAACCATTTTAGAGTAAGTGGTCCAATAATAACAGAAGCTGGCAATTTGGGAAAATGTTTTTTTCCCCATAATGTTGCATAGAAATAAAGTATGTCCTGAATTTACATATATGTGTGTAAATTCAGGACATTATTTTTATGCATTTTATATGTGTGTGTGTGTGTGTGTGTGTGTGTGTGTGTACTGTATATATACGTGTGT